GAGTTTGGTTCTATTTATAGAGTCTAGGAGTGTCTCATCTACAAATAAATATTAAATATGAACCACTCCATTGGATGACTAAAAGAGATTTCCATAATGAGACAACATTTTGTGGACATTTAAGTGCCTCTGATATCATAATTGAGTAATCTTGAGCTATGTGGATTTGTCTCACCAAGATGTTTGATTTGCTTACAAGCTTATCAGATTTGGAATCCATTTGACCTTCCAATTAGCTTCCCAAGTATTTTAAATGTGGTTTAATACCTTGATCTATGCTTTATTTTACTCGGATTAGGTCAATTATGGTGTCATTGGATCCATCTTGTCAACCTTGTCAGTTTGACGGTAAATTTTTTGAAATCGGAGTTCTTGATTATTTTTATTTTGAGTTTAGATAATTCTTTCTAAGAAATACCTTAAGATTTGTGTCATGTTTTAAGATTCATGTCAAATGAAAAAAAAAATTAATTGTATATCATTTACCCCCCGATATTCAGGTTATTTTGCTTGTCTGTCCGAAAATTATCAAAATAGCTAAAAAACACTTTGAAAACCTTAGAAAAAATTTGTGCTTAGCCCAGATGCAATAGCCAGAGGCGCCGATGGTGAAGGCTGGAAGTGGGAGTGGTGGAAGCTGGAGGCAACAATAGTTGAAGGAAGTAGAGACAAAAGGAGGTGGAGGCTAGCGGTGATCAGAGGCGGAAAAGGTCGGCAACAATGGTAAGGGTCAATGATGGTGACTACTGGAGGTAGTAGCCTGTAGTGACAACTATTGTAAGCAGTAGTCCATGGTGTTGGTAGCCAAAGGAGGATCCCGACAGAGGGATGGCTGGAGGCGTAGGTCGGTGGTACCCACGATTGAGTAGGATAGTGATGGGTCGCTGGTCAAGTAGCGACTGATGGGTCGCTGGTTGGTCTGGTTGGCTTTGGGTACGATCACAACAGGTGGGAGTGATCCAACATATGGAGAACGACCATGTTAGCAATCTAAAGATGTTGACTGTAGGTGATCACATCAGCGATCAGAGACTGTGGGATCGACTAACGAGAGGCGAGAATGATCATGTGAACGACTGGCGACTACATTAGTGATCCACATGATCCATGATTTTTTTTTCAAAAAAGTGGCTAGTTTTTGATAATTTTGAGCCTATATATTGGCTAATAAGAACATAAAAAGATTGGATTCTCCCAGTTTAATGTTGTTCGATCAATAGAGCTATATTTTGCATTGTTTTTACCCACCTAGGAGTCTTCCAACCTATTAAAGCTTTCTTTTGTATTGTTATTGCCTACCTCAGAGTCTCATATTCTATTAACAGAGCTCTCATTTTGCATTGTCATTACCCACCTTTAAGTCTTTCAGTTTATTTTTGTGTGATCAATGTAGCTTTCATTTGCGTCATTGTTGTCAACCTATTTTTGTGTGATCAAAGGAGTTCTCTTGTTCAGCTAACTGGAGTCTCTGAGCCTACGACAATGTCATCAACAAAGAACTCTTTTGTGTTGTTGTTATGCAGCCACATAAGAGATTTTATGCACTGCTGGAGTGCTTTTTGAAGAAAAATTTCTACGCAGGTGTTGCATTTTTCAGAGGAGATTTTATGTGCTTAAAGATATTGATGTTTTGGGAGTTATGTCCCCCTAATAATCTGAAGAGGAGAGGAACTGAAATGGGGGGATATATTATGAGCAATAGATAAATGAGAGAAAGAACCCTTTCATAAAGTGAACTTCGCATGGATAGCCCCAAAGCGTACATTCGAAATGACAACGAATAAAAAAAAACTTGAAGACATATCAGCGAAGAGGACCTTATGATTGCAACCTACAAGTAGAGAACCAAGTATAAAAGCTTTTTCTGGGGTCAAGAGCACCTCTCAAAAGAATGTATTCATTTGGTTAATCACATCTTAGGGATACCCAAGAAAACTCTCAATATAAAGGGTCTTGTTTAAATAATTAATGAAATTTGATTATTTGAGAAACCATGAATTTAAATCATCTTAGAGAAATCTCGATGCTTTCGACATCTATACCTGGTCATAGGGCAGAGGGTGGATCACCGTAACCACTACGGGCGACGACGTTTAAGCATGTTGAGTCCACGAGGTGATATCAATGATTTGTTAAAGGAATCAATATGGGAGGAGTAATCCCTAAATAGGTAGAGGTACATAGGTCAGAGTACCACAGACCCATCATCCTAAGCTACTATGACCCTAAGTCTACCGATCGTGGAGGTAGTTTACAAGACTAGATATCCTTTGTCAGCAATCCATGAATTACATCGTCTAAGGAATTCTCGATAGTGGTAAGGTTAGAGGAACAAAAATCTATCCTATGACTATTAGATGGAGCTTCAAGGGGTGGACTTATACCCATTGAAGTCGTGAGGATGCTACTGGAAAGAAGAGAAAAGAAGGTTCAGCTATAAAGCTGTTAACACTCAACACAAAGGTCTTAAATCCCATATGGGTCGAAGATATCTCTAATACCCTAAGCGCACTAGACAGCCATATAGATAAAAATTTATGCTCGACCAAGTTTGATATGAAGAAGCACGAAAACTTCCCCTTGGGCATATGCATGTGATGTTGTTATCTACCACAATTCTATGAAATGAAGACCCTATTAAACATGTTTGGGTATAATGTCATGCATGCGAACCATTTTAAAACAGGCTCAAAGGCCATGCAGAAAGATAAAGAGCGGGGTATAAAAAATCCAAAATGTTTTAAGCCCAAGTTTTAATTATTCGAGGAAAAATAGAAAAAAAGTGGTCGTGCACCACAGAAGCATACTTGGTCCTAATTTTATACAAGAATATAGATTTAGACTTAAGGTACGAGACACGAGCTTTTTGCTTCTTACCCTCATCACCTGGCTTGATGGGTCGTACATCTCAGAGCTCATGCCCATACACCATCTTTGGGGTGCATTTTAAAGTGCATTATTATATTATCTTCATAGTGCATCATTACACCATATTTGTGATGCATTGTCATAAAATATTCAGAGTGTAACATTACGCCGTCTTCAAAATGCATCATTACACCATAAAATTAATCAACTTGAACAAGCAGAGGCAGTCAGAGGTGCATGAAAATGGTTGGTTAGCAGCAGTTAATGATGCTCGGCTGCTGAGGGAGCAGGAAATGTTCGTCTGGTCTTCGATCAATAATAATACTGGAATTCAATTCCTCTCAATCTGGCTTTGGCTCTGGGTCCCCCTTCCATAAAGGGGCTAGGGCTCTATTTAAAGAGTATAGGCGTGTCACCCCTACAAATAAAGAAGAAATTTAAACCACTCCATCGTACGAAACATAGAGATTCTCACGGTCGGATAGTTTTTTGTAGATATTTAAGTGTCTTCATGATGTTAGAATTGAGTGATCTTGGGTTTTTTAAATTTGTCTCATCAGGATGCTTGATTTGATTATATGATTGTCAGATTTAGAACTTATTTGAATTTCCAATTAGCCATCCAAGCTTCCAGAAGTGGTTTAACTGGTTGATACAGACTTGATTTGACTCAAATTGAGCCGATTTGGTGTCATTGTTTTTGTTTGTTGAGTCAGTCAATTTGACTGTAAGTTTGTTGAAATTGGAGTTTTTGATGATTTTTAATTTAAGAATATTGAATATTTCTTACTAAAAAATTATCTCAAGATACATGTAATGTCTCGGGATTCATGTCAAATCCTAAATTCTTTGTTGGTTTTTCTTTGAATATTTCTTAGACGAATGATGTGATGTTTTTTATTATTATGAATTTATTGATGTATCATAACAATCAATTTTATATTGTTTTGTGTATCTACTTGATTGTATATCTGGTCTGCCTTTCTGATGTAAATCACATAATGGTTGTAAGAATAATTACAAATGACATTATAGTAAGGTGGCATGATATTCTCATAGAGTGAAAAATAAAAAGATCAAAATTTCAATAGTAGTTGCATGCACAAATAAGATTGTATCTGATATTTTATGTGTTTTCTTGAGCCTATCCATCGAAATGACTGAATCAAACACATCCGCCAAAGTAGTTGAATTAAGACCATTTGTCAAAGTGTCTGAACTCATCAATTCATGAAAACACTCCACAATCTCTCTGAACTCCTCTAAAATAAATCTTAGAGTTTGCGTAAATAGTAAAAGGCTCGTATTGCAAGCATAATGTCACAGACAAAAAGTCTCATATCGACTAGGTGTAGAGTCGAAAAACAGTATTTAAGCCTTGGGCTGCCCACCACCCCGAAAAACACTTTTAGGATGTGACAAATGGTATCAGAGCAGATTACTGTCTGCCAAGTGTGTGGACTCTCCATGGTCCAGCGGGACCCTCGGTGGAGCCGATCCGTGACGAGGGCGTCACGTGATTGGGTGGAGGAGAATGTCACGGATAAAAAGTCTCACATCGGCTAAGTGTAGGACCGAAAAACAGTATTTAAATCCTATGCTGCCCACAACTCCGAAGAGCTCTTTTGGGACAATAAGCCTATAAATAATTTCATTTCGAAGCTTCATCAAACGTAAAGGAAAAAAAAAATTATCGTTTTAACGTTTAACATAAATCTTATTTAGACGGGTGCCATAAAACTATTAATGAAATTATCTTAATAATTTGGTAATTTATTCATGAGACATGTGAAAAAGAAGGCACACATAATTAAACAAATGGTTCATTTCATTTCTAGAAATCAATCAATCTGCAAAAAGAATACAAAGCTTCATTTCAACCTAATCTTTAAGCCCTAACATATTTTGATATGCCCATTTAAATTTAACTCAGAAATATATCATGATTTTTTAAGCTGCAGGATATTTCATTAATGATGAAAAATAATTGCTTTTCAGCTTAAAAAATCAGTTATATCCTTAATTAAATTTAATTTTAATTCTAAGAGCCATTTTTTCCCCCTTCAAAGTCTATGTTCTATTTCTCCACCCTTTCTCCTTCTAACTATTGCCCTCTATTTTCTCCCTTGTACTTCTTCTCTCTGTACAAAACTTCAGGAACTAAAGTAAACTATAATAAAGCACTCAATAATATAGAGAAGAACAAAAAAATTGGATCCGAGTATTTAATCAAATAAAAAAATTGATGAGGAAGAATCTCAGTTATTTTAAATCTGTTTTGAGATTAATATGATATTAATCTTAAAATAAATTTAAAATACTTTGAGACCCATCAAATTTATTTTTGATCGGAATATTCGTAAACAATTTTTTTTTTCCCAAAACCACCAAGATTCGTGTTTCTCCGACCAATCAGGCCGAGAAGCGAGTATTACATGCGGAATCTGCACATATGAATTGATGGTATCTGATGATATTGGATGATATTTCACCATAATATCATCACAATACCATCAAATTCGATCATATCTTTATGGCACATAATATTTTTTCCAAGCTCTGACCCAATTCAACCCGTGATCTATTAACCACAATTTGAGTAGAGCATCATTCTCGCCTCCTAATATACTGAAGTAGGTCACAATTTTTCGCTGCCACGGTAACCTCCTTTCCACCATTGTTCCCCACCATCTCCAAGCCTCTCAACCGCATCTCCACCACCTTCTTATGCGAATTCGAGTGAACCGCCGGCACAAAAGTGGGGCTCGCCGCCGGCCGATACTCGGGAAACAATCGGCCAGATTTATACCGGACACCGCAGGCGTTACAGAGAGTCTTTGGTCCCATTGGGCCCGCCCGCCATTGAGGCGTCTTCTGTATATCGCAGTGTGTGCATTTCCTGACCGATGGAACATATTCGTCTTCCTTCTTCATCCTCTTGATCAAAACAGGGGAAAAAGTGTTGATGCTGGACGAAGGGGGAATGAATGTGAGAGCGGAGAAGGATGGGAGACGAGGGCGTTTGGTTCGGGCTCGAGCGGGGACGGAGGTGGGAGGGGGAGGAGGAGGTGGCGGCGGGCTGGTGTCGGTGATGAAGTTGGAGGAGGAGGAGGAAGAGGACGACGAGGATGAGGAGGAGGAGGTGGGGAGGAGGACGGAGATCGGGCTCGACGAACGGGAAAGAGAAGGGGATTTGTGTTCTGGTTTGAGGTCTGGTGTGGAAGGAGTAGAGTTAGGGATGCAATCGAAGTTGAATAATTCGGAGTCTTCGAAGAAATTGGAGAGCCATTCCAGGTTCGCAATGTCCATATCGTTGTACTGCAACAAGAAAGCCATGATTTTTTGTTAGAAGAAGACTTTAATTCATTGATTTTAGGGTTTGTTGGAGTGAGGCAGTTAGGAAGAACAGGTAGAATTTTTCAAATGGGGTTGTTACGTTTGGAAAAACCTTTGCCCCTGAAAGTTAATTCATCTAGTTTAAATGAAGTACGATATGACTGATTAATTTTTTTTGTTAAATTTAATATTTTTTTTAAAAAAAATTGATGAAATATTTAATTAGAATATTTGATCCAATTCCTTATTTAAGTAATTAATGATGAAAAGTACAATAATAAATGAAAACGGTTCGGCATAAGCTTTTATTTCAAGTCTCTTTCAATCTGTACTGCACCGCTCAAATAAATATGAGTTTTTTTTTTTTTTAAAGATTTTTATCATCTATTTATTTCGATGTTTAAAATACTAAAATTAGATATTTTCTTTTAAAAAAGTAAATATTAAAAATAAATTTATATTTTTTATATCAATTTTTAACTTAATTAAAAATACAAAAAAAAAAGAGATGAATTTGTGTGATAAAATATTTTTAAAAGTCGTTATGGCGCTGTAATTCCAAAAAAGAGGAGGCTGAAAGCTACTTTGATTGGGTACTCTTTTTCTAAAGTAGATTAAGAAAATATAATTTATGAATATAAAACAAATAAAACAATTTTATATTTTATTATTAAAAAAACTTTTTAAATTTATTATTTTTTTTTTTTGTAAAAAATGGAAAAAATATTTCATAGGGACGGCATATGCAGAAATACATGCATATATCGTCCGATCTTTATCGTTGATCAGATAAAAAAATTAAACTTATCGAAATACAACTTTAATCTGATCAACGGTAAAAATATTTTTTTTTTTTTTTTTTTTAATGACTTTCTCAAATTTCAAACAACAATGAAAGATTTCTAAACAGCTTACCAGACCCAGTGCATCATTATCGGAGCTAATACCATCGCCGGAACCGGCGGCAGCGTTGGCGGCGGTGCGGCCGTCAGCCACTCCAGCAGCACTGCCGACACTAATTTCACCGCTGTTTTTGGAGGCGATGATCGCCGGAGCTGGCTCCGGCGGGGCTAGAGGAGCACAGTTGCCCCAAGAATCCACCATTGGGAGCCCATCGTCATCATTGGGAAAATCGAGCAGATCATCAATGGAGTCGAAAGGATCTTCGCAAACTAAGTCGGCTCCCATCGGCTCCATGAAGCCTTTCATGGCCATTGTCTCTCAAGAATCAAAGCCCTGTAAGCACAGAATAGGTTTAGTCTATTTTTTATGGGAAAATTTACATACGTCGTACACAATTCTTATGTATTTGCATATCTATCACCAAAAATTTCAGCAAATTTCAGAAGTGGAAGTTCTTCAAATTGAACCAACTAATTACGAAGAAAAGTAACATAAACACGAATTGAAAATTTTAAAAATTCAAAAACTAAAATGTGTTGGGAAATAGAAAATTGGAGCTCCGAAAGCGAAACAGAGCTCTGCAACTCAACTTCTTCTTCCTCTCAAATAAATAAACTCATAAAATGTCTTTTCAAACAAGCTAAATTCATTTTTTCCATAAGAAAAACAGAATCAAATGAAGCTGAACAATCTAATACTTAAATCAAATGATTTATCCTTCACAAAAAACTAATTAATTGAGCAAATGACACCCAAACGTCAAAAAATATATATATATATATATATATCCTCGAATTAAAAAAACCCCCAATCTTTAATAAGAAAAACAAACATGAACAGATTACGAAATGCTCCAAAACGCCAAAATCCAATGACATTCAGAAGGCAAGCAGAGCTCTGCAACTCAAGCGCACTGATCAATTTCCGAGCATGGGAAAAGATCGAGTGGGTTGGTAGAGGCGCGGGAACCAACCTGCAAACAGAAGCGAAATCCAGCTGACCACTGAGAAACCGTTTGCAGTATCAACTACGGGAGAGATACAGAATGAGAGAGAAAGAGAAATAAATCCGAAGGATGCGTGCTCAAATGAAAGAAATAGGCAGTGGGCGGAGGAACGGCGAACCCTTAAAAGGGAGTGAGAGTACACTGTAAAGAGAGAGAGAGAACGTGAAGAGAGAACGTGAGCGGAAGGAGAGAGAGAGAGAGAGATGGGAGGTGAAACGGAAGAGAAGGGGGAGGAAAAGCCAGAAGGAGTAAATGAGGGGATGGTGGTGGTGATGTTTGATGCAATTTGTTATAAGTTGCTACGGTAGGTGAGGTTGCTTCTCTCACTGCTAGCTGTCATGGCCAGCTGTAACTGTCGTGACGTTGAAGTCTCCCTCTCTCTCTCTCTCTCTCTACTCTCTTTCTATCTCTAAAATGATCTCGCATACTATTTTTCTATCTCTACTGGTTCGTAGGCCCCCACCATGTTCTCTCTCTTTCTTTCTCTCTCTCTCGGTCTCGTCCGGAGCGGAAATGCGTCGTTGGAGCCGAAGACGTGGGATTGGGGAAATGTCGGCAGGAAGCCGCGGAGTTCGCCGCGAGAGCGGCCGATGATTTTCTACTGCGCGTCGACGTACGGCTCAGAATGTCAATTTTGTTTTAATTCACGGTTGTATTAATTGGGGATTTACATTCGTCCCATCTAATTTGTACGTATTTTTATATTTAATCCCTCAAACTTTTTTTATATTGCATTAACAATGTCATTATGTTAACTTAAAAAAACAAATGAAATATTGTTTTTGTTTATTTGCATGAGTAAGATTAAGTAGAGGGTGGGAAATTGTTTCCCCTAAATTTTGATTTTTCTCTATAAAAATAATAAATTTTAATGTCTTTTTTCTTATGTAGTTTCGGTAATTTAGTAATTTTGCCTTTTTTGAATTTTCTTTTTCCCAAATTTTACAAAAAAATTAAACATATTGCCTAGCTTAAAAAATAATATTAGTTAAACACTTGTAAAAATTAAAGTTTGAATGTAGAAGAAATGTGATGGATTGCAAGGGCTCCTTGGAGATTTAAGAGCACCTTCATAGTCAAATTGTTTGGAGGAGTTGGGATATTAACAAATTCCTACAAAAAATTCTTCATTAATCATCATCATATTTGTTAATGATTGAGTGTAATTCACGTCCCAAATCTTATTTTGGATTATATGAATATTATATTTTTTTTATCTGTTAATTCTATTATGCTCATCACATCCATATATTCACAAAGTTACTCCTCGTTTATTCAGTAAAGAACTAAATGATGATGACTTCCATTGCATGGTCATCAAGACACAATCGTTGACTGCTACTCAACCACCTAGCCTAATTGTGGCTAGAGCAAGTCAATCAGGCTAACCAGAATGAGACTATCTAACCACATTTTGATTAGTTGATGACACGAATCTTTACCCTTTACTTGTAGGAGGGACAATTATTTAAAGATAATTCTAAATAAGAATTTGCATGTAAGAGCTCATTTTGCACATTTCAACAAGGTCATCAATGGGTCGCAATATATTTGAATTCAACTTTGATTAATTTGTTTATTTGGTTAAGACTAGGGTTCAAAGTAGCAAGTTTGTTTTTTAAAGTTTGGCATATCTCGCCTTACAAAATATCAATAAATTTAATCTTTATTAATTAGTCAAATTATGAGAGGGACAAGAATTATATCAATGCATGTTCATTGCTCAAGGTTCATTGTCTGAGGTTTTCCACTTATTTTACACCTTCCAAGTTAATTGGATCATTATGGAGCTAGTGATAGGAATATCCCCCCCAACACATCCACTTAAATTTATCCTTCTATCTTGATTGTGCATTCTCTTCAAACCCCAACAAATTCTTCCTTTTAGCCTTGATTTGCTTTCAAGCATCTCTATTCAGTCTTTGTATTCCAAAGATGCCACAGAGCCCTTTCCCAAAGATATCCTCTACCACCCAATAACAACTCTCTTCAATTTCTCCAATTATCTAATATAAACAATCTTTAACGAATCATTCAACTAGTCAATAACTTCCATTTTATATTTAATATTTTCTATATTTGTCATATAGACCACATAAATTATTACCATTTTAATTAATTGCTCATATCCTAAATATCTCCCTTATACTTAACATTAAATAAAACTATTATTTGAATAATAAGTACAAATAACAATTTATTGCATAGTCGAACACTAAAAAATTGATTACTCGTAACCTATATATCACTCTCAACCTCGACAATAAATTTTATTCGTACTTCAAGTATAAACACCCTCTTCATTCCTTAAAAGGCCTTTGGAATTCATTGCTTGAGCTTATTGAGACTGAACTCTAAAACTTTTATAATATAGATAGATTAGCAGATAGACATATCAAAGAACCAATGTCTTCTCTTTTCTCATAATAATAAATTCTTCCCATCTTAAAATTAGACATAAGTTGACAATCCAAATGAATTGTCTTTCGTGTGTTGTCAACTCATTAATCTCTCTACCTTTACTTTTCCTTATTAACTTGCATGTCAAACTCCACCCTTCATTAAGGGCTAAACCAACTTAGAGATCATTAACTTTTCTACTTCTCCTTTAATGAACCAAAAGGAACAATGCTCCAATTTCATATGCTTCTTTTCTCATTACGTTCTATAATTTACATATTTGGCTTTTATTTAAATGTCCTTAAGTGGTCTAAATAATGGGAAGAAGGAACATTTTACTTTCAACAAAGACCTTCCAGCATCTTCTTCCTCTACTCCTTTTTATCGACAATGATAATGAATTTTTTTCTTAGTTAATGAAAATTTTGTTGTCTTTGTGTAATAGTTTCTAGATCTCTTAAAGAATATGAACATTCAATTTCAAATAATTCTTAATCTTTATAAATTTACTCTCACTAGGGTTTTTTTGCTCAGTACACCAACAACTCCACCTTAAAATGTTGGTATTGAGACTTGTGTGATATCATCTCCAAACAACATTAACAGTTTTGTTGTTGTTGCCATTCATGCCTCACTAATTATTAATTAGTAAGATAAGCACCCCATGAAGAAAGCTTATTGTTACTATTAGTCTATTGATTATGGACCAGCTCGTCATCTTTTATGTTAGAGATTCTAAAAGATCCTTTGTTGAATAAGATTAAATTAATAATGTAGAATTAAATTATCATGCAACTTGATAGCTTTAAAAAATATGATGAATTTGTGTAGGGCATGAAAAGTAAAAGGCACACCCTTCTTTAATAAATGACACAAAGGCTGGAAAATTTTAAAGAAATCTCTTATGCACCAATTGTAGAATCATGCTTGCCCTAAAGGGCTCCTAATTCTTCTTATAGAAGTAAGTGAGGGTAGTTCCTCTATAACCTAAATTTTAGTGTTTTTTACCTTCATCCCCTTCCTAGATGGCCTATGTTTTAAAATTATCCCTTAAGTCATCATGAACTAATATTTTTTTCTAATTCAACACTAAATTAGTCTCTTCACATCTTTATAATACTTTAACAAGATGTTCAAGACATGAATTAAAGGATGTGATAAATACAAAAGAAGTCATGAATGAAAACTTCAATTCATTTATTTATCAAAACAAAAAAGATTAACATCATGTACCTTTGAAAAGTGGCATGGGCATTACAAAGTTTGAAGGGCATCCTCCTAAATGTAAATTTTTCATAAGGACTAGTGAAAGTGATATTTTTCTTGTCTTTTGGAGCTATAAAAATTTGGGGATAGCCAAAATAACCATACAAGAAGCAGACACAAGAGTGACCTGTCAATCTATAAAATATTTGGTCAAGAAAAGGCAAGATAAAATGATCATTTCTAGTTGCTTTATTCAAATTTTTATAATATATATAGATCCCACAACCAGCGACACTCTTAGTGTGTATAAGTTTGTTCATATCATTCTCCACTATTGTCACTCCACTTTTATTGAATACATAAAAATTTAGGCTAACCCATGTTATATAAAAAATATGGTCGATAACTCTTACATCTAACCACTTCAGGATCTCCTTACTACTTACCTCCTTCATCCTTGGGATTAGCATCCTCTGAGGATCATCCTCAGGTTCATAATCTTCCTCTATTAATATTTTATGCAGACATAAGAAAGGTTTTACTCCCTTAATATCTACAATATTCCACCAAAAGGCTTCCCAAAAGGTCTACTTCGGATAATAAGGATCTTCTTTTCTTCTTCCATACCTAAGATAATAAAATCAGTAAGGAAGACGAACTTATCAACCTTAATAAGCACCTCATCTATCATCCCTTTAAGATAGGCCAAAATTGCTAATTCAACTGAATCGCTGGGTCAACCTGACCTAACTCGGGTTAAACCAATTCAACTAAACCATCGGGGCAACTCGATCCAACTCGAGTGGGTCCAATTCAACTAAATCATTGGCTCAACCCAACTTAACTTGGGTTAACCAATTCAACTGAATCATCAGGTCAACCTGATCTAACTCGAGTTAACCCAATTCAACTAAACCATCAAGTCAACCTGACCTAACTCGGGTTAACCCAACTCAATTATATCATTAAACAAACCCAACTTAACTTGGGTCAGCCCGACCTAACTCAGGCTCACCCAAATCAACTCAACCTGCTTGGACAACCTGACCTAAACTAGGATAACCCAAAGACAACTTTTCTTTGGGACAATCAGACTAAAATCTGGTCAGCCCAACTTGAGGCTCAGCTTCAAGCTTAGCTTAAATCCTAACCTCAACTTAATCAAGGATTGATCTAAGTCTAACCTAACTTAGACCTAAGAAGACAACTCAATTATAAGTTAACTTGGACTTCACCCAAGTCTAATTTAAATTAAACTTGATTCGACCTATGGGGTTTAACTTAGATCAGGCCATCTCAACCTGATTTGCCCCTAAGTCAACCTCACTTAGTTTAATTTGGCTTACCTTAAGCGAATTTGAACCAAGACTAGTTCGACCTCAATCGAGCTAAGTCAACCTAGGTCAATCCTACTAAAATTTGGTCAATTTAAATAATTTTGAAGATAATCCAAGGGACAACCAGCCTAATTCAAGTTAACTCGGATTACCTAGAGACTCGTCTTAGATTAATTCAATCTAACTTAAACTAATCTAAAATCAACCTAGACCTAAG